TAACACACACACACACGGTAACCAATATAAAACCTGCAAGGTTTAGAAAACAATGTGACAAAAGCAGAAAACAATCATTTCACTCCTGAATAGCTTCTCATAAAACATCTCAAAGCAATTTCACAATAAAACATCAGCTGTATAAGCATTCAAACAATTTTGTATATAAAACAATTATAACAATTAAAAATATTTTAAAAATCATTTCCAAATTTAAAAACAATTTAAAACACTTTCATATGTAAACACAATTTCAGATACAGGGAGTCTTCTCTTCTCATGAGGTGGCCAAAGTATTGGAGCCTCAGCTTCACGATCAGTCCTTCCAGTGAGCACTCAGGGCTGATTTCCTTAAGAATGGATAGGTTTGATCTTCTTGCAGTCCATGGGACTCTCAAGAGTCTCCTCCAGCACCATAATTCAAAAGCATCAGTTCTTCGGCGATCAGCCTTCTTTATGGTCCAGCTCTCACTTCCATACATCACTACTGGGAAAACCATAGCTTTTACTATACAGACCTTTGTTGGCAAGGTGATGTCTCTACTTTTTAACATGCTGTCTAGGTTTGTCATTGTTTTTCTCCCAAGAAGCAGGCGTCTTTTAATTTCGTGGCTGCTGTCACCACCTGCAGTGATCATGGAGCCCAAGAAAGTAAAATCTCTCACTGCCTCCATTTCTTCCCCTTCTATTTGCCAGGAGGTGATGGGACCAGTGGCCATGATCTTTGTAACTAGAATATCATTGCACAAATACTGCCTTGCTGGATCTTCTCAAGGTCCCCCTAATCGAGAATTCTGCTGTCAAAAGTGGCCAGTCAATTAAGCCCTCTTTAAATGTTACAATTAGGGTCAGGGGTGCCAAGCTGAGTAAAATATTGTGGTGGCCCAGGTAAGCCCTACGTGATGTGGTGTGCTCACACAGCATTTGAATGGCAATGTCTTTTAACTTTTTTGGGGGGAGGGGGGTCCGGCCCACTCAAATATTTTGTTGTGGGAGCCAAAGCCCTCACGGCCCCTAGGAGTTGGCTCCTATGATTGGGGTAAACATGAGGGGTTGGGCAGCAAGGGGAAAATTCACTAGTTCCATCTCCTATCATTATCCCCATTGGCTTCCAACTCACGGAGGACAAAGGTCAGAAGTAGGTAGCCATCCACATTTGTGGAGGCTCCCCATGCATTTTGGAACCCTGGAAATCCCCCACCACCAGTTCAGAACTTAGCCCAAAGGTGACAAGAAATAGCAAGGCTAACTGGAAGAATCCGACAGCAGGACGATGAGGAATTCCAAAAAGAATGGTCCAAATTTATGGTATACTTAGAGAAAACTGTACATAAAATAAAGACACTCACAGGACTGAAATAAAACTCATAACGTTTATTGCAAACATTTGGTTAGACCACAAGATGTAATGCTGTAATATAATAAGGAATGTATGTCTAAAGTATAATACAAAATTTTATTAAGGAATTATAGACACTTATAGAATGTATATATAGTAATCACGCTTAAGTAAGAGCAATGTAGAGAAGCCAGAAGAGGGGTGGAGGGAAGTTAATTCCGATAAGGTATAGATTTAAAGGAGAATAATATTGTTAAGCTGTACAGTGGTACCTTGGCTTAAGTACTTAATTGTTAAGTTATTAATTTGTAATAAAAATTATTGGGGGGAAAGAAAAAACAAACAAACAAACAAACAAACAAACAAAGGTGATAAGAATGGCAATGGAGGGAGCACAGCCATCCCATGTCCATTGGCGGAGGAAGAGGAGTGGGGGGGGAGTGCAGCGTGATCACCAGGGTGCCATCATGGCTGCCCCCCCACCCCTGCTGGGTGCCACGCCCCCGCTGGTGGCACACCCTGCATCCAGGACATGTGCCAGCCCCGCCCCCACCTGCTCTCCGCCCCCTGATGCCAGAGCATGAAGCTCTGCCACTGCTCATGTCTTTGCCCTCTTTATAATGCCTAAAGAAGGCTTTAGTTAATATGTCTAGACACTTAAGGGTTGGCTCAGTTTGTTGCCTGGGCAAATGGACCTCTTCCTCCCCCCCCAGCACTTCAAGTCAAGGTGCATAATATCCCATGATGGCCAAGTTCTGTGACCCCATTTGGGAAGAAAATCCAACATGTGCCTCCATATGCATGTGGGATTGTCAATATTGCTTTGTGGTGGCTCACGATTTTAGCAATTTGGGCAATCGCTATAACATAACATATTTAAACTAAATACAAAAGATAAATACACTAGTAAAAGAGCACACTTGTGAGTATGTGGGAGAAAGCTACATTATTGTCAAGGAAATAAGTGATGTGTTAAGTTCAGGTGTCATTACATAAACTGCATGAATACGCTATAGAACAGAGTTATTGTAAGTGCTTCTAATAACACCTTGAAAGTGCACCAAGATATATTTATTTTATAGATGGTGCACCACTTATTTTTAACATGGTTTGTTGATCAAAGGAGAGAGAGAGAGAGAGAGAGAGAGAGAGAGAGAGAGAGAGAGAGAGATTTAGGCACTTCAATTTTATTTTGATCCTTCTACTTTGACTTTCATAACTCTTCATTTTAAATGAAGGTCTTACAGAAAAGCAAGAAGAAAAATAACCCAGCAGGTTCTCCCCTACTTTAATGACACATTCACTACAGTGGTTGATAGGACTCTTCATATTGCTGTCACCCTGTGCCTTTGCCCCATGGACAATGAAACAATGCATATCTGAATCAGAAAAAGAGGAACACTAGAAAGCAAATTACAGGCACAATTCCATTACCAATCAAATATTATGCTGTAATTCCAGGACGTATTACACTGAGATTCCTTTAGAAGGCAATCTCATGACCTGGCACTGGGATGTAGTAATATAAACAATTTTACAGAGTCACTGCTACCAGATATAGAAAATAAGGATACGAGCCCTTCAAGTAGCTCTACAGCAAAACTCTCCTCTTTCTCAGGGTTTGATGGTTCCTGGGGGTCTAGCTCTGAAATACCGGTAAAAAAGGTAAAGGTAAAGGACCCCTGACAGTTAAGTCCAGACGCAAAGGACTTTGGGGTTGTGGCACTCATCTTGCTTTACTGGCTGAGGGAGCTGGCGTTTGTCCACAGACAGTTTTTCCGGGTCATGTGGCCAGCATGACTAAGCCACTTCTGGCGAAACCAGAGCAGAGCACGGAAATGCCATTTACCTTCCCGTTGGAGCGGTACCTTTTTATCTACTTGCACTTTGATGTGCTTTCGAACTGCTAGGTTGGCAGGAGCTAGGACCGAACAATGGGAGCTCACCCTGTCATGGGGATTCGAACTGCCAACCTTCTGATCGGCAAGCCCTAGGCTCTGTGGTTTAGACCACAGCACCACCCGCATCCCTGGTACATGTAACAAAATCCAGGCTAGTCCCCACCACCCCACCTCCAGGGCCAATTTTGTGAAATGGGCAAACTCTTCCTGCTTGATAAATATTGGAACTACTAGGACATGAGGTGGAGCTTTGGGGAGGTTATGAGGGGTGAGCAAATTGTTCTGTTTCCCAATCTCCCTCCCTCTGCTCCTATTCAAAAGCAATGGAGCACTGAAACAGCTCTGGGGACCCAGTGGAGAGGGTGTTGAGTACCAGCATTGCTGGGCATGTTCAGTGGATGCCCTTCTGAGTCCCTTGGGTTCTCTGCTGCTGCCAAACTGGCTGATCACTGGTGCTGGGCCTGTTGGGAGATGTTTTGATGGTCATGTGCAAGAAATATGTTCTAAGCTAAGAGCAGAAGTCAGGTGTGCCAAGTTAAGGAAAGGGTTAGCATGTGACAGATCTTGGAGGGCAAACTGACTCCCCTTTTCACAAGTGCTCCCCCAGAAAAACAATCATGGAAGGATTTCACATAATAATATTATTTCACCACTGGTGGGAAAGTTCATATCCTATACGTAACTCCCATCACTCTGCAAGACAAATCTAGCTAAGGATTATTTAAAAAAAACAAAAAACCACTATCAGTCATTATAATCATATTAGCTATTATTCCAGCCTCACTCAGACCAAATATGATAAATGCTTTTGTAATGGGGGTAAAATGAGAAAGATATTTGAGTGCCAAGTATTAATTTCTTTCTTTTGCTCTTCCTTGGAGTCAATGTCTCTCTGGATTTTTTGCTGGGTTCATCACTGTGATATGGAACCATTTCATTTAATGAGAAACGCTGGAGAATATTTTATCCTAATTGCTCGGTGACACCTAGGAGTGGAGCTCAGTTCATGCTCCTAAGCAACAGACTGTACAGCCCTATCTATCTTCTGTCAGCTCTACCTTCAAGCCTGTAATAGTGAAATCGCTGACGAACAAAGGCTGCAATCCTAAGCACACTTACTGGGGAGTAAAGATGTCAGGAGTCATTTTAAAAAGACACTTCTAATGGTGAGCACTGTGCTAATTTCTCACAATTAGGTGAGGGCTACGCAAGGACCCCCTCACCACTTTTGCTGCCATCTAATTCTCCTTTCCCTGAACCCCAGGGTTCCTCAAACTTACCTGAAACAGGCTATTGGTGGTGGGTCTGGCAGAGACAGCAGCAGGGAGTCCCTTGTCTTGACAGAGCATCATGTCCCTGTCAACTAATAATGAAATTTGGTGCACATCCTACACTCCAACTTTATGCATACAAACGTTGGTACTATAGACACACAAGTCCTGCTTTATGAACATTAACTATGCAAAAATTCACTTATTCGAACTCAAAGAATTAGCACCCAAACCTTGATATACACACTGCAGATTCAGCATTTTAAACATTCTTGTTTGCCTTTTGCTGGTTGGCTGAGGAGTGGAAGGACAGAAGGGGAGTGATAAGACAAATCAGAGCATTTGTTTTCCTGGGCTTTTTTAAGCTTTTTGGGGTCAACATTCTGTGGTTCGAAACACATTAGAATTTCCCCCATAGGAACCAGTATAAATCATTGACTTGTTATACAAACACTAGCTTAATGAATGATTTCCTTTTTTTTTATTTTTAAGAATAATTTTATTAACCAACCAATCACATCAAATCAAACCAAATTACATAAATTCCAAATTACACAGCCGAATTTTAAATTTTTGTTGGGGGTACCCATATTTCAAGTTCCGAAGGGGATCCAATCAACTTCTTGCTTCTTGCTGCTGTTTTAATGTCCACAAATCTAACCTTATGATGTTCACAGTACTATCCAGTCCTTTCTTATTGTTTTTCCACATCTCTTGTTGTTATTTTCATATATTTTTCCTTTCTCTTTGTGACCTCTGATAGTCTCCACAAGCTGGTTAGAACAGTTTGTAATCCTGCGTGGATTTTTTTTTTTTTATCCAGTAGCCATATCCAGACGTTTTCCATATAACATCACTTCCATACATCAAAACGGTCTTAGCGTCACTAATCTTCACCAATCTGCCTCCTTTCTCAAAACCTCTGAGGAGATTCACCAGGAATGCAGTCTGAAAACAAGTCCGTTTCTCCTCCCGGCTATAAATCCTTTGGCAAGATGGCAACTCCAAATTAATTGCTGCCCCATTCCAAAAGCTCTTATTGCTTCTCAATCTCCATAAAGCATACTTTTGGTTAAAGTTTATCTCCACACAGACCTTAATCATCCTGCTTGGGTCAGTTCAACCGACGATTCTAATGAGGAGGGGTTCTTGTAAATCACATAGAAGGAAAGTAAAAAAGGTCCCCCCCCCATTCAGTCCCGTTGTCAACATACCCAGCTTTTGGTGTATCTTCATTGTAAAATATTCCTGTTTCTCCAACTCGTCGTCTTCTTTCGCAGAGGTCACTTAAATTAGCAGACTTCACTCCCCTTCTTCACTTGAAATATGTGCATTTGCTTCTTTTGTAATTAATTATTCCAAATTGCTGCAGCTAGTGCACGATCAGAGACAGCGTCCAGGAGAGCCGAGGTCCACACGGGGGCATTCTGCCTAGTGCCCTCATCCCCTTCTTTCGAATTAGGGGGTGATTTATGGGCACAGCAGGCAAGGGCAGTGTTCCCCATTTCCTTGGGGCAACAAGGGAGGCTGCCTACTCCCATAACAGCCTCTTAATTACCCCATGTGGGTCGGAGAGATGGTATTGTCAGCCATCTTCCAATGCGCCCCTAGTGGCCCCCGCTTAACGAATGATTTCCAGGGAACGCATTGCGTTCTGGAAGCGGGATGTGTGTACTGCTTTATATTCATTGCTGACATTTATCTGCCAAGGCTACCTACTTTGACTGTTGCAGTGGTGTTTTGCTCCTTTGGGCAATTAATCTCACATCTTCACATCTTTGGAGTCTTGCACTTTACATTAAAGTTTTAAATTCGATATATCTGTAGAACAATGTGGTAGGCAAATGTATAATTTGGAGTTAACATTTCAGAAATATTATTTGCCAAGGCATGCCACAAAACGCAATGGGAATTGCATACGCTTTGGGCTTGCTTAACTATCACAATTTAACCATGACTCAAAAGGCAAAGCTGTACACAAACATTTTCCCCTACCAATTGCAGAGCTCTAATCAGACTGCAGTTCCTCCCACTCCAGAATTACTTGGCATATTTCTGGGAATCAATGATTGGAGTAGCCTCAAGTCTTGGATCAAATCCTTCAGTTTGTAAAGGTGGGGTACGCAGAGTTTGATTTTCTTCCCATTGGATTGGGGCACCAAATACCTCAATTTTCTAATGTAGCACACTCATTTTCTTGTGCTAACTTTTTTGAGTATACACAACATTTCACATGGTATTTTACAAAGGTCTTACAATCAAAGCAAATATTTAGTTAATTTTTATACTGAGTCATATTTCAACAGAAATCGCATAAGTAGTTTACGAATCCCATAAAAAAGGAATCAATGTAGGAAAAACAACACAAATGGCCCATTCAAAACCAAACAATACCACTCCTACTCCTCATTATAGCAATAATATTCCCACATTTTAAACAACAAAATTAAATGAAGCTCTAAAAATGTACATAAGTAAGAACAACTTAGAGCCACAGAAACAAATCATGTGCAAAACATCAAAATATATCAAGATACATCAAAATGTAATACATCAAAAAGTCAAGTGTTTTTTTTAAAGGAGCAAATAATACAACTGAAATCTGTCACTTACACATAATTAATCTATAACACAACCCACACATACACAGAAACAATTTCTTCATGCCTACCACATCACTCCATCAATTCAATTCTCACTTTAAGGTGCTGTGGTCTAAACCACTGAGCCTCTTGGGCTTGCCAACTGGAAGGACAGCGGTTCAAATCTGAGCAATGGGGTGAGCTCCCGTTGCTCTGTCCCAGCTTCTGCCAACCTAGCAGTTCAAAAACATAACAGTATGAGTAAATAAATAGGTACCACTGTGACGGGAAGGTAAACAGCATTTCTGTGCACTCTGGCACTCGTCATGGTGTCCTGTTGTGCCAGAAGTGGTTTGGTCATGCTGGCCACATAACCCGGAAAGCTGTCTATGGAGAAACACCAGCTCCCTCGGCCTGAAGTGAGATGAGCACCGCACCCCATAGTCAAATTTGATTGGACTTAACCATTCAGGGGTCTTTTGCCTTTACCTTTACCTTTAATGAAACACTCCAGTGTTAAACTAAGAACTAAAAAAATAGGGAGGACAAATCAGATGCAGGCCTAAATATCCGTCACATACCTATAAGATTCCCCCACCTGCAATCTTCCCTTGAAGCCTTCTCTCCCCAAATAGAGTAAGTTTCAAAGTAACATTTTTAGACTCAGAGATATTTTAAAAAGCCACTTGGAGAAGCTAACTAAAGAGTTGCTTAACATGAAACGTCTTCCTACTGCACACAATGTATTTTTCTGTCCATTCCCTTTAAAAGAGAAACCTCAGTGGAGTTTACAAAGTAATTTGAGATACAGGAAGCAGCTTTATGGAAACCTACTCCAATGTTAAGGCATGTGGTTAGTTGACACTTTCAAGCCTTTGAATCATGGCAAATGAGAGACTTCTATCCATCCATTGTAATATATCTTTCCCCCCTGAAGTCTTAATGTCCATTTTGTGAAATAGGCATTTTGAGATTGTGCACTGAACTTCTCAAGCATGTTATATAATGTTTATAACTCATGGTTCTATGGCCATTTTTCTTTTATGTAGCTAAAATGCCCAACACCATTGGGATTGTCTGGCCTTGAGTGGCATTATTTCAATAAGAACATGGCATGTTTATTTGTGTTCCTGCAGGTTCCCCTCATGGTGAGGAGGTAGAGTCTACTGTATTCCTCAGGTTGCACATGACTCATCATAGCAGCTTGGGGAGAAACTTAAAGTCCTGTCAAAAATGAGTGAGTTTTGGTCTCCAAATCATACTGCCAGTTTTCCTGAGCTATAGTGCCAAAATGGAAAAAAACACAACCCACCTCTAATATCTTCATCCTTTAAAAACCAACAACTCAGTATAAATTTTCCCTAAGACATTCAGTACCTCTGATTCAGTAGGTGTCTATTCTGTACATACAGAACTGCTCTGACTCTCTATTATCAAAATGCAAACTGAAAATTCAGAAATTCAAATTCTACCATTGTTACTGTATGTGATGTAGTGTTGTGCCCCTCAAAATTGTTCCCTACAATTGTTATCAGTTTATAAGAAAACAAATTGCATTTGGAAATTTTCACGAATAAGTCTGTGGTGGTTATGGATTGGGTAACCCTTAGTCTTGGCTGGAGAGGAGGTTTTAGTCCCTACCTGCCCCTCCTTGGTTAATGGTATCCTGTTAAGGGGATCCGTGACACCCAGGTCTGACACCCAGGCGAGGGCTAGAGCCAAAGCACACCTCCAACAGGGACCCATCAGGGGGTACCCCTATTTGATGTAGGTCATAGGGTCCCCTTAGTGGTGGTTTATCCTTAGATGCACTTCTGGCAGATGGGCTGGAGTGGAATAATTTGGCTTCACTCAATGCCTATGCCAAACCATTCACACCTGTAACCAATAATAAGTTGTGGCCTATTTGAACCCATAAACCTTTATGCTGTTGTCTGGTTTTGTTATGTACTCCGTACGGAACTGCAGGGTCACAGGCTTTTGTCCATGCTTAGCTTAACTTTGAGGTGACCAGGCTTGTGAGCATCCATTTCCCCATTTTATAAACGTATTACTCATGGTCTGCAGTCTTCACGGGTATCAATGCTTTATTGAAAGCCCTGTGGGAAGCCTCATGAGAGAACTCCTCTGATAGGGCTTTTCCAAACTTCCCAGGTGGTCATGTTTCAATTAAAGTCTGAGGAAAATATCATGAGGTAACTTCTATGATTTGGACCACTGCAGTATTTGCATCAAGAGACTTCCTTTTACTTCCTTTTGCACAATACTGTAACTTGTTTTTCTGTTACCTAAGAGAAGATAGAGGGACCAACTTATATTCTAAGGTCATCCCAAATTCAGCATCACTGACAATCGTCATTTAAGGAAGCATCACATTATGAGAACCACAACTTATTCCACGAAGGCAGCCATATCCATATTCACACCGACAACTCACATTTATTCATAAGCCTATCTATGTGCTCATTTATTGCACATTTGTCTCTTTCTCATTCACCTTGACACTGGAATGTAAGAGACCACTTAACATTTTGTATTAAGAGTGGACTGACCTACATGGTACCTTATCCCCAGACGAAATTGCTCTCCTTGCCTGAATGTAATGTTTAGTGCTGATCGCTGTGAGTGTCCTTCTTGATCATGTTGAGAGTTTACTTCCCAGCACCAGATGTTTCTTGAGACATTTATCATTGGTGTGGAAACTCTCCATGTATCTGGAATATTTTTCATTGTTGGTTTTTGTTACTACTACTGCTACTTTATTAATTAATGAATCATCTTCCAAATGAGTCTCAATGTGATTGACATGAAAAGTGCTAAAAATAGGAACTGCACAAAAAATGGCAACTGAAGAACGGTTTTATAAACACAGAATAAACACCCTAAGGCAGAAGCCTTTTCATTCAGCTGGAAGAGCTTGTCAAAACAAAAGTGTCTTTGATTGTTTTCAGGAAGTACAAATATCTCAACAGGGATAATGTTCCACAAAACAGGGGCAGCCATACTGAGAACTTGTCAGGAAACAGGAGAGAGATTCCTCTTCTCTAGGTGATGAAGTAAGAGAACTCTGAACCAGAAGGGGCAGAATACTTCCACCTTTGCTTAAAGCAGCACCTTCCAGAGTGGGTGGAGCTAATAATTAGGTTACAGCAGCTGCCCAGTCTCCATTTGTTCCTTGCTGAAGCAACATCAGTGTGCTGTGTTCCTAGAGCACAGGCTGAGCCTTGGCCTGCCTCTATCCTGTCTTGTCTTGCATCCATCAGTGATCTTGTCTCAGAAGAGGTCAAAACTCTGCCCTGAATTCTTGTGCACTGAGTTCTTGTGGTTTCTGATATTTTAGGGACTCTCTGAGTACAGGAACCTACTGAGTATATTCGGGATCAGATGGTCTTTTAAGCAGCCTGATTCTGACCAACTTTATAATTCATGTGCCAAAATAAACATTATAGAAGGGCAAGGAGTGTGACTACAGAGACATTGTTTGCTTTGGGACCTACTGTTCCTCTAGAGAGTGTATATGCTGGATGTAGCATATAGAAGAAAGTAATATTTGAAGGTTCATGTAAAAGATACAAAATACCCTTATTAGCTGCTCCCAATTATGAATGCAATGGCAGGATAGCTGTGCCTGGGGAAGTAGCTCAGTGCTTCCAGGTTAAATCCCTGATGTCTTCAGGTAGGGCTGGGTGAAATCCTGTTTGAGACCCTCGAGAGATTCTGCTAGTCAATGTCAACAATATTGAGCCAGATGGACATGTATTCTGACTTGATGCAAGACAGCTTTCAATGCTCCTAAGGCACCTCACTTTCTATGCAACTTTAATATATTAAATGTAGTCCTTCCCTCCTGCCCATTGTGTGGAAATTGACAACAGGACAGTGAAATTGGATTCTACATGCTCTAATGGTGGCCAAGAGACTGATACGGATGCCTTTGGAAGAACAGAGGTGTGACTCTCTTAACCAATGGCTTGACAACATTGGCAACATATGAACAGACAGCTTACAGACACTGCCTTTCTTTGGATAAATGCAATGATATTTGGAATGAGTTTACACAGAATATATTAGGTTACTGACAACGTGTGGTAATGTAACAGTATTTTTTTCTTTTCCCCCACTCACTTTTTTCTCTTTTTTCTTCCCCCCCTCACTCTTCTCTTTTTATAAATGAAATTCTCTTAATAAAATAGCAATGTAAAAATGAGAAAATCTCTTCCCTCCCACCCTTTACTGCCCCATCTGAAAACATTCACTAGTGTTCCAGCCCTTATCTAAATCAGCAATTATCATTATAATCCTTATCTCCAGGTTTATGCAGGCAGAGAACTGAGGATTACCTGAAAAGAAGTGGGGTCTTGAGAACCTTGCTTTGCAATTTTGTCCAATTAACCCAGAAGGAATACTATCCCTTGCTGTACCAAACCAGTCACTTAATGATGCAGCAGGACAAGGTATTGTCAAGAGCAACCACCTCATTGGATAGTGAGCCTGTTTCATGAGCATACACTGGGTGAAAAAGGAAAACATTATCCAAGACTGGACTTATTATGTATCACTGCAGAATTAGGAATCTGGATTTCTAGCTCCTCCATACAAAGAAAATGGCCTGTTGCCCTTTTGGTGAGAGTCAGACCATTCCTTTAGTAGCAGGTTAATTGAGTAACATACCAGATAATGTGGAATAATAACTATGTAAAAAGTGCAACACTCAGTCAGTTACCTGGTCAAAAAGGTTATAATTACCATTTAGTAAGGGTAAGAGGAAAATGATGGGCAAATATATACAAAAGAGAAAATCTAATTGGTTTTTTTAAATAAAATATATATATAATTTTGTCAAAAGAACTACATCAATTTGCAATTACCCAAATTCTGTCACTCCTCTCTGTATATTTATTTCTGAAACTTCCAAAGTGAATTGAAGTGTTAGATTGCATGCTACATGCACCATCAAATACTTTGTTTTAACAGGTAGATGAGCATTACTAGGCAGTGTGTTAGCAATTAAAATAAACAACAAATATAGATAGTACAGCTTTTTAAAGTGTTCATACCCCTTTTAGCTGTCTATAATTCTGACTCTGCATGTCATGTGTCATGTTATTCCGTTACCTCTTTTTCTATAAAAATAGCTCTCTGTGTGAGTGAGTGTGTGTGTGTATGTGTATATATATCTCCAGTTTGTGTAAGCTGTCCAGGAAATTTTAAAATCTAAGGGCTGGAGTATAAAGCATGTTGAATAACTAGATAGTCAATAATCACGGATCAAAGCAGAGATGTGCTTTGGTGTGAAACAAAATATGGGAAAAACAGTGTGAATCTTGCAGTTCTGTGGGAAGAGGGGCGTGTTTTTATATCACTGCAGAAGAAAAGGCCCTAGTAACATTCCAATGAATTACTTTTTATAGGGTCTCATTGAAAATGTCTTGTGCTACTAAGGTTATCCCTAGACAATTTTTTCAATGCTATTTCTTTTAGTGTTTCTTGTAAAGCGACACTGCAGTCACAGCTCATTGCCTCCAGAGCTTTCCACCAGTAATCCAGGTTAGTCTTTGATGCTTAAAACAAAAATAGTCTATTATTTTTATATATATTTTAATGGAACTCATGACATTGGTACTCTATTCCCCTCAGTGTTTGCTTTATTTCTTTTCCTGCTCTCTCTCATATGGGCATTTGTTGCTTTGGTATTGTAAATAAGGTAGATTTGTCCTTCCACATCCAGGTTCACAGGCAAAAGAAATTCTGGTATTCTTAGAGGAATGGATCCTATTGTCAAAATATCAATACATATTGTGGTATTATTTGCTCTTGTACAAACTGTCAAAATTTCAACCATGATGTCAATGATGTTTTTAAATAAATAAATAATCAAAGACAGAGTTATTAGTTAATGATATTGTTAATTTCTTAGTCTGAGCGTATGTTGGTGTGCGTTTGGGATTTTTAAATGGTGTGGGCATTCCTGTGTTTTTTTTAGCTGCCTTATGTCTCTTTAGAGAGATAGAAATTTTAAAAATAAATCTTTAAGAGAAGCTGCCTCAGATGCCCTATTTATACGAAAAAGGGCAAAGTGGATCTAGACAATCACCAGCTCCTACACTTGAAGTGGAGAATAATTTACAAGGATTTCCCCCTCCCCCCCCCAAAAAAACCCTTTCACAGTGACATCTACTGAAGGGAGATGACTCTAGTAATTTCCATCCCAGCCAGAGGCAATTCAGTTATATACTTTAACAACTGGTTTCTTAACCTTGTACAAAGTTTTGAAGGCAAAACGTGACTTGACAGAGCAGGCTTTTGCACTGTCCTTGTAAGAATAACTAGTCATTGGGAACATGAGTCACCGCCTTAACACTGAAATGTAGGGCTGCCAACTGTCTTATATTTTACCTGTTTAATCTATAGTTTACTTCTCTGTCTGGTATTTTGCCTGCCTATATTGCCCCAGGATCTATATTTCTATTCTATTCTATTCTATTCTATTAATTGAATAAACTAGGTGTTAAGGATTAATTTATTTTCTGTTGGCCTCGCATTCCACCTAAATCCACCTAGGTGGGGTAGGGTGAGCAGGGCTGAACTGAACATCACCATGTGCCACCATTCCTACTGGCTCCACCCTCCCAAATTGTGTGTGTGTAGTGGAAGTTTTGGAGGGAGGAGGGCTATATGTGTTCCGTTGTACATTCTAGGCTCCTCATAAGAATCTTCCACAAAATGAACCAGTTGGGGCATGTGTGGCGAAATCAGGTGTGTTCGATGTGTTCATGAGCAGGTGGTGGGAAATTTGTGAAAGGATCTTCTGACATGCCGAATTCTACCAAACTTAACCCCCTTGACTGCCAAAGTTGACCAGGTGCCACTCTGGCCTACCCAAATATAGCAGATCCCATTCCTGATGTCTCCAAATTATAAAACAATCAAACGATCCAATTTTCATGCCAAATTATAAGTCTTTGGTTGACTTCCCATGCTCTGAGGTTGGGGGGTGATGATAATCTCACATTTGTGCTGCTTCTCTTAATTAGTCCAGGTAGTTCCAATAAATCAATGCAATGTTAATCCTTTGTTTATTTTTAACAGCCTCTGAGTTCGTCTGGCAAGCAGGTTGAACCAATATAGTATGTTTCTGTGTGGGTGTTTAGTTTCTTTATCTCTACAACTGTCATCTTTCCTAACCATCAACTCTGTTGACCAAATATTTTGGGAGTTGTAGTCCAATAAGAGCTGGAAGGCACTGTAACAGCTACCTTGGCTTAGGCCTAGACAGACAGAACAACTACAGAAGAGGACAAGCCAGAGGTCCCACAGAATGACAAAACCACTCCAAAACTGTCCAAGGTTCCTATAATGCCTACTTATGAAGAACAGTATGTGGAGGTCTTTTCCTCAACAGCCAAAGGTAGAAAATTTACAAACGAGAAAAAGTTATAAAATGAGAAAACCAAAAACAGTGCAACATATTGGCACCCCACTTTGTAGCTGATGGTATCATATATTCAGGCCTAACAGTGACTTGCTAGGCTAAAGACGCAACCCTATGCATGTCTGTGCAGATAGAAGCTCTGCTGTGTTCAATGATGCTTGTTTCCAGGTAAGGGCGCATCAAACTGCAACCTAAGACAAAATGAACTGAAAAAGAGGCCAACTACACAGATCCATAAGAAGATTAGAAAATGTACATTTTACTCCCAGGCTGTTTCGTTCCGCTGTAGTTCACGCAGAACTCTGACAGATTGGTTCACAGACACTAGTAAACACCGTAGGCTGGTGTCACCAAAGGCTACAGTATGAGCTTGAGTTGGGCTAATGAGCTTTTAAGTAGTGCTTGCTATGAAAGCAAATACAATATCCATCTCTCGGGCAATGAACGTGTACACTATTAAGCAAAGGCATTTAAGAGGAATTGCCTCAGCCTGGGATTTTGCCCACTCAGTTTTTAATTGAATTACCAGCAAAACCTTATGGGGCACTTGCGTCTATCTTTCTATGTGTCATGTATAGTGCAGGAGCTTAATCAGTAGTAGGCTCACTGGGCCTCATTTGCTCAGAACTTGTTTTCTATACCAGGGTGTGTGTGTGTGTGTGTGTGTGTGTGTGTAGAGCAGCGTGTTTCTGCAAAAACAACCATAAAGTAGCAACTTAAACCATACTAAATTTATTATAGCATCACTTTTGTGGACTAGAGTGCACTTCGTCAAATGTATCAGACTCATCACATGGGTGTTCCAAATGCCTAACCTTTTCCCATTGATATCACTAACGTGGGTGGTGCTGTGGTCTAAACCACTGAGCTTCTTGGGCTTGCCGATCAGAAGGTCGGGGGTTCTAATCCCCGCAATGGGATGAGCTCCTGTTGCTCTGTCCCAGCCAGCTCCTGCCAACCTAGCAGTTCGAAAGCACTCCAGTGCAAGTAGATAAATTGGTATCGTTGTGGTGGGAAAGTAAACAGCATTTCCGTGCACTCTGGTTTCTGTCACGGTGTCCTATTGCACCAGAAACAATTTAGTCATGCTGGCCACATGACCCGGAAAGCTGTCTGTGGACAAGCTCCAGCTCCCTCTACCTGAAAAGCAAGATGAGCACCACAACTTCATTGTCGCCTTTGACTGGACGTAGCCGTCCAAGAGTCCTTTACCTTTTACCTTACCAATCAACATTACTGTTAAAGCCATGAATTCCTTCTGCTTTAGCAAAATGAATTTGTACCTAGTCCGATCAGGGGAAATGCTATGCGTGGAGTCCTCAAATGCTACAACACGAGCAGGCCAAATGTTTATTTATTTTCCCTTGTTTGTTTCTAGTACTCATTACTCATCTTTCGACCAACGGTTCCAGGATGGGTTGCATAAAAAGATTTTTAAAATTACAGAAACAAAAATCAGCCACAATATTACAAAGCAAAGCAGAATGCAGCAGCATTTCAAAACAACAGGGGTTGGGGGTTGGAATTGACTAGAACAACATCTCATGCCACCCCTCCAAAAGCCTGGGCAAAAAGGTGTGTCTTGACTTGCTGAGGTAAGCCGTACAATGTCAGTGAAAGACACACCTGGGAGGGGAGAGCATGTTATTCATGCCTTTGACGCTGCTATTGTTGTATTGTGTTTTGATGTGTTGTACACTGCCTTGTTTTCTAGGAAAGTGTGGTTTAAGAATAATTAAATAAAGGGTGGGAACAACCTACAATATGGGGGGAAGTTTTTTATTTATATTTGTAAATAAAATTTGGATACGCCATAAAAAATAAGAAGTGATCAGGAAGGAAGAACCTCTTATGGTATGGAAGAATGAGGCAGTTTCAGGGACTGCATAAAATGAGGTCATGGACTGCATGTGCCCCCCGCCCTCTTATGTAATGATGCAATGGGGGTTTTACATGCAGAAACCTTTTTCTGCATGTCTTTCAACCCAGCTGGATCATAACGACAGACTTGGTTCAGCTGGGTTTGTTAAAAAACAACACCGCAGCTTATTTTTGGTCTAGTGTGCAGCACACCTGTCACACAATCTCTAGGTTCAAGGCAAATTCCAGACTTTGCACACTTTCATTTCATTCTTCTCCAGGTTCACTCTACAGCTTGATGTTATTAAAAGCTACTGGCATCATATGCATGGATATTTATGATCAAAATAACAAAAGCTTATCTTTGCTTGTTAGATAGCTGGATAGATAGGGAGCAATTAATATAGACTCCAATATACGACAACTGGTTTTCATTTAGCGCCAATGAACAATTATCATTAGCACTGCCAGTACTAAAGCAGGCCATAGCTCATTTATGAGCTGCAATTTCAATTCAGATTTCAATGTTTTTTTCTTTTCTTTTGATCTATAGCCTACCCTATCAGAAGGCAGATTTAAACCCTCCTGTGTGACATCTTTGCCCAACTGAAAATACAAACACAGTCTTGGTAAAATGGTGAAGTATGAGCAATCCATGGGCAAGCTTCTTTTTGTGCTTCATGGTTAACATACTTAAGGGGGCAGCCTTGGCTCAGTCTTAGAAACCAATTAGATTGGTAAAATAAAGTGTCTGTGTTTCTGAGAAGGTTCACATTTGAATGAAACCGTATCACTGCATTTACACTACACATTTACCCGGATGATTATCTGTCCCCACATATGATTGTCAGTTAAGGAAATCTTCCCCATAAGCCCTCCTCTAAGTTTTCCCGCCATCAAAAGATTGGTGGGAAAGTGCCTTCTCGGTGATGGCACCCCTATTGTGGAACTTGTTCCTATGACCTGCCTGATGTCATTTTCGCATCAGGTGAGTGACTTTAGCCGCTCTAGATGTTTAATTCAGCTTGATCAGTTTTATCTGGTTGGTTTTTTATGCTACTCCTAGTGATTTCATTATGTTAATTTTTTTGTATATTTCAAATTTGTGTGCTTTTAATGCACTTGAATGTGTCTTCAGTTTGGCACAATGGCCACTTACTGTCTTGCCACAGTACTTGCCCAACGCAGTGCCTCTTCTCTCCCCTGGACACGCAGTGCCATTATAGATGGTTTCCCTGTCCCCTCCAACTGCCGTGGAGGCTCACGGGTTCCCGCCTAACTCATCCTTCAAACGAGCCAATCCGTGGAGGTCCTGGGGGGCAGGGTGGAACATGGCCATCTCCTTAGCTGGCTGACCACTCAGCACAGCATCCTTTTTTTTTTTTTAATTCAAAGTTATAACAAAACATATTTTCCAAAAACATATCCTTATTCCCCCCCATTTTTCCTCCCCCACCCCCCACAAAACCCATCCCCCCACCCCACGCCCCGACTTCCCTCAGTTCCAGTCTTTGGTTTCTCCAATAATGCTATTTTCTGCATGTTACAGAGTTGTATAGATCATCCAACTGTTTAGCTAATTATTACCAGTAAAAAATTGTGGATGTTTATTCAAAACCTGCCAAGGAGTCCAGTTCACTTTGTTGCGTCTTCAAATACTTTGTGAAAGGTTCCCATTCATCCTTAAAGTCACAGTTATCCTTGTCCCGTAGCTTATGTGTCAATTTTGCCAGTTCTGCATAATCCATCAATTTTTCTTGCCATGATTCTTTAGTTGGGATTTCTTCAGTCTTCCATCCTTGTGCTACCAGAACTCTCGCGGCCGTTGTCACATACATGAAGATGTTTTTCAACTTTTTTGGCAGGTCTTTCCCTACAATCCCCAACAAATCTGTAAATTTTAAATCAGTTTTCCATAATTTAACCCAATCATCCATCATAATATTGTGACCTACATCTTGTGCCCATTTAATCATAACTGATTTTACCTCTTCATCTTTCGTTTCCCATTCTAATAGTATGCTATATGCAGCCTTCAGTAATTTCACTTTCCCTTCAATCACTTCTGTTTGAAACCTAGATCTAGTATAACTAAATCCTTTCTTACAGTCTTCTTTATATGTTTCATGTAATTGTCGATAATGCAACCAACTCTGAAAGTGGTCTTTGATCTCATCATAATCTCTTAATTTCCATTTCCCATCATGTTCCTTTAATAAATCAGCATATGTGAGCCATTTTCCTTTCTTTCCAAGTGGTTTGAGCAGTAATGCTTCATGTGGTGAAAGCCACCACGGAGTCTTTTGTTCCAATAAGTCTTTATATCTCTCCCATACTCTCATTAATGATTTCCTGATTATATGGTTGTAAAAGCTTCTATGAATCTTCCCTTTCCCGTACCCTAAGTATGCATGCCAACCAAATCTGTTGTCATGTCCTTCTAGTTCTAGTGCCTCTTGCTTGTCCAATCTCATCCAGTCCCTGATCCATACCAAACAAGCAGATTCGTAATACAATTTAAGGTCTGGGAGGGCAAACCCGCCTCTATCTTTTACATCTGTAAGTATTTTATGTTTTATCCTTGGCCTTTTGCCCCCCCAGATAAATCTTAAAATCTCTTTCTGCCATTGTTTAAAGCATTCATCTTTCAGGATGACTGGTATTGATTGAAAAAGAAATAGCATTTTAGGCATCACATTCATTTTAATCGCTGATATTTTTCCTAACACTGAGAGATTTATTCTGCTACATATTTCTAAATTTCTTTTTACCTCAAGCCAATATTTTTCATAGTTATTTTTAAATAGGTTTATATTTCTTGATGTTAACCAAATCCCTAAATATTTAACCTTTTTATGGACTTCAATCTCAATATTTTGTTCTAATTCGGTTCTTTCTTCTTCCTTCATGTTTTTAACTAATAATTTAGTTTTATTCCTATTTAGCTTAAATCCTGCCACTTCCCCAAAATTCTAATTTTTTTCTATTACTTTAGGGAGTGAAGTTTTAGGTTCTTCCACTGTTATCACTAAGTCATCTGCATACACTTTTAACTTGAATTCACTTTTCCCAGCTTTTACACCTGTAATCTCTTTATTTGCTCTTATGTTTTTGGCAAGTACTTCCAAGACCAGAATAAACAATAATGGTGATAATGGGCATCCTTGTCTTGTTCCTTTTTGGATCTTACAATCATCCGTTATCACCTGATTTATAATTAGTTTAGCTTTTTGTTCTGAATAGATTGCTGCTATTGCTTTTAAAAACTTGGGACCACTTCTGATTTGTTCTAACAACTTGATCATGAACTTCCAAGAAACATTATCGAAGGCTTTTTCAGCGTCTATAAACATCATTGCCACTTTCTTTTCATTTTTAGCTTCCAAATATTCTATTATATTCAAAATATTCCTTATATTCTCCTTCATTTGTCTTCCTGGTAGGAACCCAGCTTGGTCTTGATGTATATATTCATTTAATTTTTTTAAAATCTGTTAGCTAGGATATTTGCAAACAATTTGTAATCATTATTTAACAAGGAAATAGGCCTATAGTTTTTAATTTGCAGCAAATCTGCGTCTTGTTTTGGAATTACTGTTATATAGGCCTGTTTCCATGTTTCTGGGATTTCGCCTGTGTTCAGTATTTCATTCATGACATCTTTCAATGGGTTCACTAATTGTTCATTTAATATCTTATAATATTTTGCCGTAAAGCCATCCGGGCCTGGAGACTTGCCATTTTTAGAGCTTTTTACTGCATCAAGTATTTCTTGCATTGTTATCTGGGAGTTAAGGATGTTCCTTTGTTCTTCTTTTAAATATGGCATATTGCTATTTCTGATGTACTCTTCTATCTTAAATGTTTTTTCTTTCCCTTGTCTATACAGCTCAGAAAAATATTTAACAAACCCTTCTTGTATTTCCTTCAGCTTGTCTGTAATTCTGCCATTTATGTTAATTTTATTTATGGAGTTCCTTTGTTCACTTTTATTCAGCTGCCAGGCTAACAACTTCCCCGGTTTATTTGCATGCTCAAAATATTTTTGTTTTACTCTTTTTATTTTCCAGCTGATTTCCTCGTTTATAATCATTGAGTATTGGGTTTGTAATGTTTTGATTGCCTGTTTTACTGCCTCTTTGTTTGCTTTGTTTGGCAGCTGTTTCTCCTTTTTCATAATTTCCTCCAATATTTATTTTTTCTTTTTCTCTCTCAATTTCCCTTTAAATGAATTTTGTTGTATAAAGAGTACTCTCATTACAGCCTTGCTTGCATCCCAGACCGTCTGTAACTTTGTTAGCCCTTGACTATTTATTTCAAAGTAATCCATCAAGGTCTTTTTTGCTTTTTCAACAAATTTGTGATCATCTAATAAATCATCATTTAATCTCCATCTAAAAGAGATTTGGCTTTCTTTTTGTAATTCCATAGTCAGGGAATTATGGTCTGAAAAGGTTCTGGGATTGATTTCAATTCTTTTGACTTTTGTTTCTAATTCTTTGGAGATCCATATAGAGTCTATTCTCGAACTGCTGTCATTTACATGGCTGTAAAAAGTATACTCTCTATCAAACTTGTGTCTTACTCTCCAGATATCTATCAGCTTTAGATTTTGAGTCATGTCAAAAAAAGTTTTCGGCAGTTTACCTTCTTTGGTCTCTTTTTTCCTGGCTGTTCTGTCTTTGTCTAAAGTTGGAACTCCATTTAAGTCTCCCATTAAAATACTCTTTTGATCTGCAAATTCAAGTAGTTCTGTTTCTAGTTTCCTGAAAAAAGTTGCTTTTTTATCATTAGGGGCATAAATACCAACCAATATCACTTTCTCTCCCTGGATCTTAATTTGTATTATTAAAATTCTGCCTTTCTCGTCCTTCTGAATCAATTTGGGTTCAAGTGCAGGATTAATATAAAAAACAACTCCTCTCTTTTTTGTTTTATCTGATGAGATGAAGTCCATACCTAATTTTTTGTTATTTAAGACCCTTTTATGCTTTTTTGCAATATGTGTCTCTTGGAGACAAATTATATCCAATTTCTGTTTTGCTATTACATGTTTGGCTCCAGAATTCCAACCGTTAACATTCCAGCTCAGTAATTTAAGATTGGCCATTTCCAGAGTCAGTTACAGTATCTGTTTTCCCTGATGCCGCCTCTTCCAGTGCAAGTTGTTCCAAAGCTTTCTTTTGCTCAGATCTGGGGTCTCCCCTGTCTTGTTTGGGGTCTAAGTCTCTCCTATTTTTATCCAGGAATTCTCTCGCCTGAAATTCTGATGTCAGCTTATATCTCCTCTTCATGTATGTAAAAGAGATACCCTCAGGAAATTCCCATTTGTATCTGATGTCGGCTCTCCTAAGAGCCGTTGACAAAAACCGGTATTTTGTTCTTCTTAATCTCAATTTCAGAGAAATTTCTCTGAAGATGTCTACTTTCTGTCCAGCAACCACGAGATCATTTTCAAAGCTATTCTGAAGGATTGCATCCTTCACTTTTTTTGTCACTAATGTTAACAAAATGTCTCCTGGGTGGTTCCGTTCTCTGCTCTGAAACAATTTAATTCTGAAACAGCTTTCAACTGAACCATCCAGCCAATCTGTACTTTCCCCCCTCCACTCTGAAATTATCTGTGTCACATATGTCTCTAGTACTGGCTCAGAGTCAGAGTCTGGTAAACCTCTGATTCTGATTGTTCTATCCCATTCTTGTAGCTGCAAAAGTAAAAACTGATCCTCCAAATCACTCTGTTTCTCTTGAACCCCTTGTACCAATCCTAGTGTCCCTTTTTGTTCCTCCCTTACTTCTGTGACCTCCTCTCTTAATTTTTCTAATTTATCCACTTTTGACTCCAAGTTGCTAACCTTGTCTCCCACTATCCCAAATTGTTCCTTTAGAAACTTGTTTGAGTTCTCAATATCTCTGTGTACTTGTTCCTTCAATGATAAATTAGATTTTTCCATGTCACTACGGACCTGTTGTGTAAATTCTTGCATTGATTTCATCATCTCTTTCCTGAATTCTAAAAGCTGCAGTGCAAAAGGGTCTGCCTGTTCTTTGTCACCTTTTTCCCCATTATCGCCCTGTACACTGGCCCGTCTTGCAGCTGCAGCAGCAACTGAAGCTGCTGTTTTCCGTGTTGTTATTCTGTCTGGCCCCGACATTTCTTATCTGTTGGTTCCCAGTGTTTTATGAGTTGTTCAAGGTCACACCTGCCAGCTCTGTCTGTTCAGCCGTACAGCTACCCCCCTCCCAGCTTTCTCCCAGTTTCTCTTTCCCTTTTGTAAACTTTCAATAAAACCTGTAACATAAAATATATAAATATACAATACAATATTTAGCAATAAGGGGGGGAGCCAATTAGTTAATATTCCAAGAACAAGGGAGGTAAACTTAAACAAAAAAAATTAGGTCAGTCCAATTTCCAATTTCCGATATTTTCTTGGAACAAAGGAAGTGCACAAGGCAGATAAAAAAGAACCAGCAGAGGAGAGATTATTATTTAAATTATACTTATCTACTTATAGTCTCTCAAATGGTGGTGATTTGCAGTATTTCCAAAACTTGTAGGTCCTTTTAGTCCGTTCTTATTTTTAATCCCATGACCATAGTCTTGTTTTCCAAGTCGTAAATCCACAGGCAATTAAAGTTCCAATTCACAAGCAGCTGAGGCTTTGATTTACCACTCTTATTTGGAGAGCTCTCCAATTTCTTTTTGGGGTACTTTAGAATACTTTAGAATACTTGGGAAGCTGTTCGAGGCTCTTTTCCACTTTTACTTTGGAGGTTGCCTCCAAATGTGCAAGAGTTCCCTGCAGGCTTCCTGTCTTCCCCCTTTCTTCTTTAGCTCCTCCAATTTTTTATAAAGTTTGCTTAAACCTGCAGCTGTGTAGATTTCCACTTATATCTCATTGGGTAACTGGGTACAGTTAAAGTTGCAAGCCATTAGAATGTGACAATTCAGTCAGATTTAGCTGTAGCAATTCTCCATAGCAATAAACAAAGTCGAGTCCCATTCACAAAAAGAATCCCTTGCAGAGCCTGTCCGCAAAGATCGGAGACTGACTTCCTCTTTTATCTCCATCTCACCAAATTGAAGTTTTATGGTCTAACTACGCCTTTAAATTGTTTTATTGGCATTTACCTCTAATTAGGAAGGTCTGCTGCTTCCTGGGTGTCGGAATGTAGCTTTGGCAGGGGCCGCGATGGTGCCTTGAAGCGTCCTCAAGCCTCTCCCCCTTTCCTCCCGTGTGCTAAACAGGCACTGGGGGGGCTGGGTGTGTGTGAGAAATTTCACTCTGCAGGAACCCTTGGGTCCCCACACTCCTGTGGGGTTTTTTGGGGGGTGCGCTGAGCTCTGGCGCTGCCCTCAAAAGCCTTTCTGCCAGCTCCGTGTCGCAGCCGACACTTAGCACACCGACATTCCTTTCCGCAGCAGCCGGAAGACCACTCAGCACAGCATCCAGTCGGCTGGGAGAATCACCCACCCTTTCCCTCCCTTCACTAATAGTTGATTACTGTTCTAACCATTTCTTTTCAGCTAACCAGGCTTTGCTGTGGCCTTTTGGCGGTTGCCGTATTCGGAGCTGGGAAGGAATTTTCCCTGGTCTGCAGGTTTTGTCTTCCCCATAGCACTAGTCACAACTTTGGTGGTTTAGGCCTTGGGCGGAATCCTATCGTCTTTCATCTGATTGTGGTGAGGTGAAGTGGTGATTCACCCACCAACTGTTCCCTGGGGCTGCGTTTTCAGGTATCCTGTTAGTGGGGTCCGGAGGGGGAAGTCTCTGTCCAAAGAGCCAAGTGTGTAGGGCTAGTGGGACCTAGACCTGCCCTCGGCATTTGGGGGCCATCTGCATAAACCTGTGTTTTGCGATGGACCCACCCCCAAATAGACCCTGTCATGCCTCAGGACCCCCAGAGGAGGGGCTGAGAAGGATACACGCCCAATGCCCATGCCAAAGCTTCCTACATCTGAAATCAACAAAGTTGTGGCTGTTTAAATCCCAGACAGTTGTTGTGTCCATTTATTTTACCACTCAGCAGTTAGGCGTGCCGGGAGAGGAGTCTCTGCAGCTGGGCATACAATGCATTGAGTATTTTATTCATGGATGGGATGTCTGTGAGACTGTGCTTGGATGGATTTACTACGAGACAAGTGTGCCAAGGACTGCAAGACTGTATTATTTCATTAAATTCACTAGCTTGTACATTTGAAACGATCCAGAGCATTCCACCCGCCACCATATGCCATCATGTACTGAGAATGAGATATTTGTAGAGACCCACCAAAATCTATTAAGAAAATGGCCTGTAGCACACATAGTTATTAATTAATACTGGTTGGTCTCTTGCAGTCAAAGCAGTTGCTCCCTCTAGACACAGGTGTAGACTATTAAGGTTTGAGATAAAGGAATTCGCTCGTCCTAATTAGTCCCTTTGTGCTGCTTGATACAAACAAACAGAGTCCTCACCCTAGCACATCATTGCCGCAGTCACTACCATCCTGGCCTTGAGCTTGCTGTTTCATATCTCTGGAGAACTCTCCCTCCTCCCCTCAAATAAGTTATTTCTTTGATGAATTTCTAGAGAGACCTGCTCTAGTGACAGAAATAGAGTCTCCATCTACTTTAGTGGACTTCATTTGTCAGCGATACGAGCATGCATTTATATCTGTCTTTTTGATCTCTGTAAAAGCCTCCATTCTGGATTCCGTAATCTGAGAAATAAATTAATTGGGTTGCTGAGTTCTCTTCCATTTTTGCACTTTGCAAAAATGGTTTGCAATAATAAATTGGTTGGGGTTTTTTTTTAACACACACACACACCAAGGAATAATGTCCATGATTTGTGGCTTGTGAAGGTCCTCTAAATTAATTGTGGAGAAACGGTAATTAAAATGACCCTGAATATCTATAAATGTTTGAAGGATGTTGAATGAAATTATATGACTTAAGTAAGGATTGGTAAATGATTTGAAAAAAGGTAATGATGTAAGAATTTGCTAAATATTGAATATAAGCTTTGAGTTTTAAAGTTTTTATATGACAAGAGGGAAAATAGAATAAGGAAACGCAATGATAGATTGTTATGAAAAAACAGAAAGGATTTGCTGTAAAAATTAAATACTAAGAAACAAGAGACGGAAGGAGGAGGAAGTCTAGAAAGGAAGTTAATGGGGATCGTAAAGGATTTTATATTTCTGTGTTTCGGTTGTTCTGTCTTTTTCTTTTTTGCGGCTGGGTTTTTTCTTCTTTACTATTTCTGTATTATTTTTGTTTTATTTGTATTTTCAAATTTTTTTGGAAATTTTTGTTGTTACTTGTTACTTTTTGAAAATTTAATAAATATCAATTTAAAAAAATAAAAATAAAATGACCCTGAATATGTCTGCTTACTGAGTAATGGTTAAAGCAAACAGTGTCGTACACGGCACACATATCCATATTGACTTGGAAGTCAGACCCATTGCCTTAAGTGAGATTTATGTCTAAGTAAGTTTTCCCAGAAGTGTAGCTTTAATAAGTTTTTGTAACTGTGGTGGGAACAACACCAAGAGCTTGCTCGTGTGGTCATCAATAGCAAGAAGAGTTTTCATATTCGCATGTGGTATTTTTACCACCTCATGTGACTTCTTAATGCCATAATCAACATGTGGTTTTACAGGAGGAAATGGAATATAAGGGCCAAGGTCTCTGGAAACTAAGAAGCCTTTGGGGATTCTTCAGAGGCTTGGATGACCTGTCAGCTATATTTGCACTGAAGTAGAGACACATGGAAGGGAAATGAGAATGTTTTATTTTGTGGAGCACAATCCACTGGGTTTTTCCTCATGTCAAGCTTCTTGAAAAGAATTTGTCTATTTATCTGTGCATTGTGAAATGACTGGAGCTGTCTTGTGGGAAAAATTCATTCTTCTTTTCACCTGAAACCAGTAAGGATATAAAAAAATTATTCAGACTTCTGGTTTATAATGCTCATTTCTGCCTTCACCCAGGGCCTCAAGTTCTTTACAGTGGTACCTTGGGTTACATACACTTCAGGTTACATACGCTTCAGGTTACACACACCCAGAAATAGTGCTTCAGGTTAAGAACTTTGCTTCAGGATAAGAACAGAAATTGTGCTCCGGCTGCGCGGCCCTATTAGCTAAAGTGGTGCTTCAGGTTAAGAACAGTTTCATGTTAAGAACAGACCTCCAGAATGAATTAAGTACTTAACCCGAGGTACCACTGTACTGAGCATTCTAGGTGACTAGCTTTACTAGTCCCTTTCTCCAGAGCTTCCAAGTGCCCCTATTTTCTAGTGACGGTCCTGGATTAACAGAAGCTGTCCCGGTTTCTGATTTCATCCCAGAATGTTCCACTTTTTCTTAGGACGTCCCGATTTTCATCAGAGAAATGTTGGAAAGTATGGTAGCATACTCTCCAACATTTCTCCAATGAAAATAAGGACACCCAATTCCATATTGATAATTTTACACCCCACACACCTTACTGGGGCAGCTTCCAATGTATAAAAAAACAAAATAAAACATTAAACATTAAAAAAAACTTCCCTATACAGGATTGCCTTCGGACGGCATTGGGGTCGAATAACTCCATACTCTCCCACGGTTCTCCAATGAAAATAGGGACATCCTACCATACCCTCCAATACTTCTACAATGAAAATAGGGATGTCCTAAGGAAAAGTGGGACATTCCAGGATTAAATAAGAAACCACGACATCTTCTCTAAATCAGGGACGTCCCTGGAAAATAGGGACACTTGGAGGGTCTGTCCATGTTTTCATCAGATACATGTTGGAACATATGGTTATGCAACCCCTGAGCCAAGGAGATAAGAAACTATACAGCCTTTAGAAGACATCTGAAGGCAGCCCTGTATAAGGAAGCCTTTAATGTGTAATGTTCTATTATGTTTTTATATATGTTGGAAGCTTCCCAGAGTGTCTGGGGCCACCCAGTCAGATGGGCAGGTTATACACTAATAATAATAATAATAATAATAATAATAATAATAATAATAATAATATAGGATGTCCCTATTTTCAGCAGAGAAATGTTGGAGGGTATGCTTTCTCTGCTGCCATTATTCATGTTTTCTTTTGTCTTTTTTATAACAGGGGCAGGCAAATGGCAGCCCTTGGCCTAATTTCAGCACAA